CATACCCGACGTGTTCACCTTCTACGCGACCGCACGCGCACCACTGTCATTTTCTTTGAGACCTTGTCTGATTTTGAAAGATAATAACATTAATTCTAATTTTCTTCTATGAACTCAACACGAGGTTGATAAAAAAGCTTTATCGGCTAACGTTTCGGCGGGGTCGCCTTCGTCAGAGCCTGCAAAAGCCTAGTCAGTTTATGACAACCCGACCAAACGTCGCCGCCACCTTATAGAAGTTCAAAATCAACAAAACATCGCTAGCCCCAAGAAGGACCACTTACCGCAATTCAGTCCGGATTTCTAGACCAGCCACAAAGCACAGCACCAGCTGCAATCCGGACTCTTTCCAAATGAGAGTCACTACTGGAAGGCTAACCTTATATAAGTAACATTAGGAATATTTTTTATAGTATAGTATATAGTAACACTAACTTTATTCCGGTTATACCGGCCCAAAAGTATATATTTCGGTAACACGGAATAATAAAAACAATGAATTGAATTTCTGAAGGGCTTACATTCCTATTAGTGTTTGTGGAAATCCAATGCTTTTTTGTCAGGCCTCAGAGTTCATCGTGTTGTTCAGGTGAACGACGCAGTCGGGCGTGAATGGCCATGGATTTACTTTGTGACTCTGGTGATTCTCGGCTCGTTCTTCGTGTTGAATCTCGTTTTGGGTGTGTTGTCCGGAGAATTCTCCAAAGAACGTGAGAAAGCTCGAGCTCGCGGTCTTTTTCAAAAATTTCGCGAGAAACAACAACTGGAAGAAGATCTGAAAGGTACGGTAGCTACAGTATTCCTATGTGTGCAACAACGAATTACACCGCTTTTACAGGATATCTGGACTGGATAACTCAAGCCGAAGACATCGATCCTGTGAATGATGAGCAAGAGGAAGAACCGCAGGCAACAGGTGGTTGATTGCCTCAATTATGTTTTCTGTGACATCCATCCGCTTTTGTATGAAAAACTGGACCAAAGGATGAAGTAAGAGCAGTGAAGTGTCGGTGGGAGACGTGCAGGAGTTGCCGGAAGGCTGTGGCCGTTTTATGGATCGTCATCGGGAGCAGTGTTAATGCTTTATCGCTCTCCCCTCCTTGCTCAAACCCCGTATGCCTCTGACACGTAGTCATGCTCATTTATTATGAAAGTACCTCCCGTTTCCGGGGATTAATAATCGCTGTCACTTGTGCTACTAGTGGAGAAGGGAGAGATAGAACGACACGGTCGATGAATGGCTGTCGTGGGTCCGTTTTTGTTTGAGGAAGTATTCGTTGTTATGGCAATCTTCCTTTACAATTTCAAGGTACATATAAGGGGTCGCATTTTGAAAGGGAGCCCACCACATTGTTTGAGGATTACACATTGGCGGCAGCGTGACGCACGTGCGCAACACACTTTCCATACCGAATGAGGCTCGTCCTGCTCGATTTATTGGTTATTTTTTCACCACAGTGAAACTTTATGTATACTATACAGAATATGGAAAGCAATTTAAACCATTACCAGCAAGAAAAATATCACGGAAACGTTAACAATTTCGAAAAAAGAAACGATTTTGCACTGTCCCCATTTTGTGCTTGGCCAGTCAAAAGCCGCGGATGTGAAGCAAGGCGGTCGCCCTCGCAGATCTGCGCTGTCCCACGCTGTCAAAAAGTTTAAACCCGCGCTATCGTCATTGCGCTAAAGCTGAATGATGAGGGCCAGGGGCAAAGCATTCGACGTTGTCTAATCTTTTTTGAGTGCGCCACGCGTTCTATTTCCATTCGCTAACATTTTTATTGATACTTGGCCCATGTTTTGGTTTGCGGGGGTCAGCCGAAGCACAAGTCAGTGTTTTTATCCTCCCAGACAAGCTCTGGTATCAGCTAACCGACCCCGGAGAGATGGTAGCCTGGATGGCGTTTGCGGTAGGTACGGTTCAGGATTTTATCCCCGGACGTTGATGAAGGGCCTAGCAATAAATACGATGAAGGCATTTCATTTACAATTGATTTTAGCGGTAGAAGTAAAGTCAAAAAATTTGTGAGTGATGAAGTGGTGATTGGTTTTAGACGACACAACCACTTTCATGGTCTCTGGACCGTAACAAAACATACACATGGATTCTGGATGGTCCCCAAACGTCTTTTGCAGTCGCCGAAACCATTCAATTCACATCCCCACTCGAAAAGGCCTAGTACTTGGCATTTCCTGAGGGGTTACGCCAGACCCGAACTTTCTTTCTTTACTGCTTACTTTACAAAGATTGCGTATCGGAAAGTCCTCTTGAAAACCACTCTAGTTGAAAGGGAATAGTGGGAAAAAGTTGTAATCATCTTAAAAAGGCTCAGCGTTAATCAGTCAAGCTTTGGAGTTCTGGTATGCACCACATATTCGACTTACGTCAGGGTTTGTAGTGCTATTGAATCGCCATCTGGCCTTTACAATGGATTATGGACTCTACTGGATGAATTAATCAGGGCGCTGTCTCAAGATACAGGGCATTTTGGTGGCAGTGTACATTTCTCAGACAGCCTAAAGCATCACCTTCCTGTCAAATGGGACTGAGCCAGAGGTGGGAAGGAAGAGGTCCAGATTTCGAGCAATTTTTATCATTTCCCCGACTTTACTGCCCCCTCCTCCGCTTATCCATAGAAAATGCCCCCGTATCTTGCGATAGCGCTTAGATCAGTCGGCTAAATTGTGTTTATTTGATTCCCCTGACAGAAATTCTATTCGCGATCAGATCCCTGAACCAAGCGCTAGTACTCAGTACCTCATTCACCATTGTAAAGCTGATATCTTGATTCTCTCATTTTAAGCTACTGGTGAAGAGGTTGATGAAGAAGGCGAAGAACGAACTGAGGATAGCCGACCGTCCAAATGGCGAAGCCGAATGAAACGGTCAGTTTTGCTCAATGTTTCCACTAATATTTTTCTTTTTGGGGAATTCGATAGTAATGTTGATCGTTCTTTGTGCAATTTCAGACCATTGAAATCTCTGAAAAATGCTATTATTTCAAGATTCGAAAAAACGAATCGTCGTTGTCGTCGAGCTTGTCGTCGTTTGGTCAAAAGTCAGACGTTCTACTGGCTCGTCATTCTGCTTGTGTTGCTCAACACCCTCGTGCTCACCTCAGAACACTACGGTCAAAGCGAGTGGCTCGATGATTTCCAGAGTGAGCCTTAACTGAAAATCCTTCTGAATCTTCCTCTAAGACAAATCACAGGACGGGCTTTTCACTGGAAAGCCACTCAGATACGGGAGAACCCGAGAGACGGGTTGATTGAGCGGGGTTCAGTCATTGATGCCACCGCAAAATAAAGATTCCTGAATGGGAGGAGTTGCATTGCTAACACAAATTTACGCGGCTTGCCTTAGGGCGTCACAGTTATCTGCACGAAAGCCGAATATAGTACGTCAGCCACGAAGGTTGACCCAAATTAAAGAGCCACTAAGGCGCAACCGACTCGTGTCACGCAGGCGAATACTTTGGCCATCAAAGCACGCGGACCTGACGAATATGGAGTCACCCCCTGATGTTCCGATGGGGCTACCTCCTCAGAAAGTCGGTAGGAGCACGAATACCATCTACTTCCTCGTTCTCTAACCCGGGCAAAATAGCTCACGCACGATCACTATCTCTAGAATCTCGACTCGATAACCTTAGTTGGTCATCTGCAACGCTCTCCGCTTGGCAGGGCGCTTTTTGGAGGTTGCAATCCTCTCTTCTTCCCCATCTGACAGGTACCCTTACTTTTTCCCACATCAGCCCGTGAATGAATAATATACTGTAAGGCTACAGTGGGAAGATACACGCTTTTTTATGCATGCAAAACGGGGCTCGTGACCTGGGGGGGGCATTCGAAACAGGGCCTTTGGAAAAATTGCGCTGAAGTGGACTTTGGAACGAGGCCCAGAAGAGAGGGAAACGCCGGGGTGGACAAAAATTGCTCACATCCTCCCCAGAATCCCTTTCCCTCCTTGAGACTTTTCGTTAGTCCCAAGTATTCTTGGGATCACACTCTAATGTTCCCCGTGACGACATGAACGCTATTTTATGGAAATTAATTGAGAAAAGACAGATAGTGAGCCCATTTCTGTGGAGCGTCCGCTGTTGCCAAAATGAATTACTGGCAATGAATAGCAGCGGCTCACGGTCGTACAGTTATTTTCATAAAAAACTGGTATCAGTAATTATTTTTCAGCAATGGCTAATCTGTTCTTTGTGATACTGTTCTCATTGGAAATGCTTCTGAAGATGTACTCACTCGGGTTCACCACCTACACCACTTCACAGTTCAATCGGTTTGACTGTTTCGTTGTCATCAGGTACGTTCTTAAATATTTTATTCGATTCATCTCTTTTTGATTTTGTGTTGTTTTGTTAGTATTTATTATTTGTACAAACTGAAATACACAGCGCACAGGGGGCTAAAAAAAGACATCATTCTGCCCAAAATTTCGTCCCGTCTCGTGTGCTCAGTAGCTGGAGACACGATAAATTGAACGTCGTAGGAAGGTAAATATTTCCCCTTTAGAACAGGCAGGCCCTCTGGTGCGGGACGAAGCGCGTTTCTTTGTTAACCATAAGGTAGCTCGAGGTCATCGGGCCCTAACAACACCTTACTCGCGGCAGTGAGCTCCTTTCCGGTGTACCTGTCGCCGATTGGCATTGCCCTTTTACTAGTCCCCGCCACTGGGCTCAAGGAGAGGCTGAAAGCATTAGGTCCGCGTTGGTGACGTTACCAGCGATGGGGCTACCCAGCGCAGAAATCAGCTGGGAAAACTAGTATGCCTTTTTGTGGTTCTCAAGCCGAAGAGTTTTCTTTAGTTTTTTTTCCTCTGCGCCGCACGTCTTAGCAGCTCTACGTTCACGGGCGACCAACTTACCATACCATCTGCCTTTTAGTAACACTGAGCTCGTTGTTGTTGTAGTTGTTGATCCAATTTTGACTACTTTATGCTTATACGCGAAAGTGTTTTTGTCTAAAAAATCTAAAAAAAAAAGTGATCTGGCGCGCAAATCATCCCCTCGGCTCTTTACTTTCGATTTTTCTTCTACTCTTAAAAATTCCCATTTCAGTTCCATCATCGAATTTGTCTTGCTGTACTTGCGTTTGATGAAACCACTTGGAGTGTCTGTGCTCCGTTCCGCTAGGCTTTTGAGAATTTTCAAAGTAACGAAGTAAGTCATGCTCTTGAAAAATTTACATTCACTTACATTCTCTTCCTAGTTATCACATTCATTTCAAGATATTGGACTTCACTGCGAAACCTCGTCTCATCGTTGTTGAACTCGTTGCGGTCGATTATGTCACTGTTGTTGCTGCTCTTCTTGTTCATCGTTATCTTTGCCCTCCTTGGAATGCAGGTCAGTTTTTACAGAGATACGTTACAAATCGATAATAGCGGTCTAAAAAATGTGGGGATTGTTTCTAAGACTTCTGAAACACGCTTGGGACCAGAACAGGCTATCAGTAGGAGCTGTGAATCTCATGAACGCGTTTTGCTCCACTTTCCTAACCATCACTCTGCAAAGTTGCTAAGCCATGTGTTGCTCCTGGTCCATGAAATATTTGCTCTAGACTACGGGGCATGTCTTTTCCACGATACTGTTCGAGGATAGTCTGAAGTAATTTTTTTACTAGAGCGGTCATCTATTTCAATGGGCGCATGCTCCCGTAATGCCCGTTATAAATCGTGTACCGGGTAGTCATTTTTGAGAGCAGGAAATCACCTAGGAGAGATGACATCCCTCGGGCGTAATCCCTTTATTGGCTTTGCAGCTACCTGCAGTTCCTTGTAATTGCGTAAAAACTGTTCAAACGGAAGATTATTTCTTGAGCGGGAGCTACCCTCATACATTATCAAAGGTAGGGGAAAAGGTGATGTCGATAAACGAAGTAGGTAAGCCATCGCTCGGAGAAGGTAACCTTTCGTGTTTAGAAGGCGGAGTTAATGCTAAGCCAGCCCAGTAATCGAAGGAAGAGGTAGCCAGTTTCGCACAGGTGACGAAAGACCTTGACAGACGGCTCAAAACTCAAGAAATGAGACCAAACCGTTGATTTCCGCATTGATGCGACTCTCGTCCATGCTGCTGCTCCATCCAACCTAATGCTGTCACTGCTGAACGGCTAAAGTCAGACAGCGAAAGAGTGGGCGGGCAGCGGCGCGAGCGGCGGCCTGCTGGGCGCTGCCCTGAACAGCCTGCCAACCTTTCGGCTAGGATTATACCCCTTTGCTTATCGACTCCAATGTCTATGTCAATACTCCATTGGTACCTGACGTCTCCAGGCCCACAAAGAGTGGGATAAGTTTTTGGGCCACTACCTATCGTACCGGCGCCGCTATGCCAGATGAGGCCTGATATTTCAACTCAATTCTACTAGTATCACTCGATTTTGCGTAACGAAACGCTCGCATTTAGTTGAGGGGACAAGTTCTTTTGGGCTGATCGCCTAGGGGAGACAAATGAAACTAGCCCGAAATCCAAACGCAAAAATGTCTTAAAATGGCTTTTAAATAAATTTTCGAGAAATGAAGTCGTGAGAAGTTGAAGAGCTCTTGCTAGATACTCATCTTGTAAAGGAGTACTTTTCATTTCGTGGTTATCCGTTCTCTGGTCAATTCATACATTGAAGGTGTTCGGCGGAAAGTTCAATTTCAATCCACAACAGCCGAAGCCGCGAGCCAATTTCGACACCTTCATTCAGGCTCTGCTTACAGTGTTCCAGGTAACATCTGTATCATATTAGCCGTGTACCTCATAAGGATTTCCAATTCGTGCTCCTCAACGCTACTTTCAAGATCCTCACTGGTGAAGACTGGAATACAGTAATGTACAATGGTATCGAATCGTTCGGTGGAGTAGGTACCTTAGGCGTCATTGTTTCCATATACTACATCGTACTATTCATCTGCGGTGAGTCATTTATTGAATTAGCCATTACAACACTTTTTCGCAAGTTTAAAAGCTGTTGCGGTCAGTTGCTATGACCAGGGATTTTTTCGGCCCGGACCTTGATCCCGACCTCGTGTGCTGGTGGTACTCCTGCCTGGAGTGAGCCAGCGACGTCGATTCCTTGAATAAAAGGGTCGTATTTGAATATGGTCAGGGCTGGGGTTGTGATGGATGGATTTGGAAGTGTGCTTTTGAGGGACTGTACAGGGCTCTGTTGGAGCTAAGGAGTTCTTGGAAGTGTTGGTAAGAGGTTGTTGAGAAATTTTGCCGAATATCTGGAAGTCTGAGAGGTTTACGGTAATCCCACGGATTTTGAAATACTTCATTGCAGTATTTGCCCACCTCCCTCCCGCACGACGGATATTTTCCCGAGAAATTCGGAATTTATAGTTTTGGATAAAATGGAAGAGTATGAAGGAAGATCCTAGCTGGGGGGTCTTATCAGCCCTGAGGGAGATATGAGGTATGAGGGTGGTATAGCCCTAGCGTGTGAAGTAAGTTGGCTAAATTTGTTAGATTTCGCTAGGAAAGTTCCTGGTCCAAGTCCGAGTCCCGGCTTAGGCAGTGTTTTGCTCACAGAGCAGCGTCTTTCTGATAAATCTCGCTCTGCCAGCTCCCTTGGAAAACAACAGTTAACAATACAACGAAAACTAAGACAAGGAGAGCTCTATTTTTCTTGTAATATGGAAAATTCAAGACATATAATAGTGGGAATAAGTAATTGATGCTTAAGGTAACTATATCCTTCTGAACGTCTTCTTGGCTATCGCTGTCGATAACCTGGCCGATGCAGATAGTTTAACGAATGCTGAAAAGGAGGAAGAGCAACAAGGTTTGGTTATCTTCAATGCTTCATTCACAAAAACCAGAACAAAAATCAATGTTTCACACATTTAAAAATTTGTACATAGCTGTTGAAAATGGTGCCTTCATGAAAGTTTTCTTGCAGAACTAGATGGTGAAGAAGAGTACGATGAAGAAGGTGAAGGATTCGGTGAAGGTGATGAAAGGTTAGTATCACACGTACCCGTAGATCCTTTGTTTATTTTGTATTTCCGATATTTCATTAATTTCTTTCGTTTTTATAAGAGTCTCCACCGTGCTGATGGTAATGGCTGATACTGTAGGGGCCAAAAGTGTTCGCCGAAACGGTTTTTCGTGCTTCAGTTTTTTTTTGCCAGAGAAAATTGATGGTGATCTCGAAAAACTTTTCTTTTGAATATCCTGATTCTTTAAGACTTGAGGTATAAAAACCCTAGAAACATAGTATATCAATCTCAGATAGTCGTTGCCAAGGAGCAAAAATAAGGCCACGAAAATAGTTTCGGCGTAAATCGTTTAATGCGCGATGTATTTGTAAGCCTTGATAGTCACTATGAAAAATCGTTAAGCCAGCTTCAAAGAATAGCTTCGAAGGCTTGCAGACGAATTCGAGGGTGCGCTGCCTACACACATGCCCTTGAATACCTGGATAGATTCCTACAGACATTTATCCAATCAGTTATGCATCAAAACTCATCCCACTTATCGTTCACAGCAACTACACAGACAAGCGGTGACCATTAAACGGTTCCATGAGTTGGAAAATGCATTTTGTTCCCCTAGAGGCTGCATAGCAGCTTAAGCGACGTTAATTCGTCATTTCCGTGGTACTAGAGACATCACATTCCGACTACTTTAACGGTTTTCGTTTTTCAAGTAAGTCATCACTCGGCACTCATCTATGTTCAGATCGCGGCTTCTACATGCAAAGCTTCAGAGCGCTGGTCACTGGCTTGAAATCATGCCGTTTGAAACAAACAAACAGTTTTGATCAACCTGACAGAAATGGAAATTCATTTTTGGTTGGGGTATGCCATTTAAATTTCACTCTTCGGCTTATGGTGAACATCGAAATTCAAATTGGCAGGTTGTCACATAGGAGGTAAGCAAACCAGCCCTTTTGGCGTTTCTGGGCCGTATGCTGAATGTTGGGGAGGGGATGGGGTCCCCGAGGTCGACGGACTACTTGAACTCGGTCGGTACGGTAGGAGAGTGATGACGAAGTGGTGCTAGGTCCAGCAGCTCCGCCAAAAGGGCTGGTTTGCTCACCCCAGGACTAAGCCTTGGAGAGGGGACGGACCTCTCTTTAAGGCTTAGTTCTGAGGTAAGCACCAAATTGTGGCGGTTTAAGGACCGAGTTGAAGTGGTCCGTCACCGTCGGGGACCCCATCCCCTCCCCAACATTCAGCATACGGCCCCAGCAGAAACGCCAAAAGGGCTGGTTTGCTTACTTCGTCACGGAAGAGCGAGTTTGGGTTCCTGCAAGCGTTAGCTCACATCCGCCAGCTCTTTGCTGGACATGACCCACATGAGTTTGACCAATAGGCAGCTTTCGCGACCCGCCTCCATGCCGAATGTACCCTTGTCTGTAGAAGCAAATTATGAGATGCTTCGACTGCATGGTCTACCCTTTGCACTAGCTCCTTGAAAAACTTAGTTTTTTTTTGAAAAAAATCGGTTGAGAAGAAACGGGCCCGTACATGTTTATTTCTCCAATATGTTGCCGCTTTCACATTTTCAACTCTAATGGGACTCCCTAATTGGAAGTCTATGTAAAATTATGTGTAATTTTGTGATTTCATAACAGATCGTGAAAAACGTTTACTTGAACTTTTTGATTTTTTAAGACTGGACATGGAAGAGCAGGAACCCGGTGAGGAACTGGTAACGCCTCGACCTCGGCGTATGAGTGAACTGCCACAGGTCGCACCCCATAAACCGATTCCGAAAGCATCATCGTTGTTCATCCTCAGTCACACGAATCCGTTCAGGTAAATCATAACACTGATGAATTCACTTGTTTTTATGCAGAGTACCCCCTTGACTTTTACTCTTTCAGGGTATTCTGTAACAAGATCGTCAATCATACCTACTTCACCAATAGCGTTCTGGTATGCATTCTCGTCTCATCCGCTATGTTAGCAGCTGAAGATCCCCTTGAGGCGAACTCTCGACGAAATACGGTACTCTCATCTCACATTTATGGAATTTTTTTGAAAAGCAGACACC